AAGTGAACACAAGTAAATAACCATTTTATCCTTATACTCCAACAAAAAATTTCACCATATCCCCATCAGACTTGAAATGAGGAACCCTAATAAAATCCAATATTTTTGTGAAGATTTAGGTCTAAATGTATTGACATTCTGTCCACAATAAATGCTCAAACCATTAAGCCCATTATTCAAAAAGAAACACACACTTAGCCATTTTGATTCTTAAAACAAGATTTGGATGCTAAATATACAAAAGAATTGCATATACGATGATCTATCCCTTTACAGAAAAACAATTACAGAAAGTGTAATATCATCTTTTTTGCTTTTTAGATTCCCACAAATGGAGGTGGATTAATCAAGTAGATGCACCCAGTGGTGGAGTTATGATTTTAGGATAAAGGGGCTTAAATCGTAATAAGATATTAAAAATATATTTTATATATTAATAACATAATATAGCCTATAAGCTTGAAAGGGATTTTGACAAAGAAAAGATCGATATTTGCATGAATGAATCTTCCAAAATTTCCAAATGACTATAAACACTTATTCATAATCATCATTAATTTTCTAGTAATAAAGTAATTAGTTAGAATATAAGCATATACGCTACGATTGATGCTCCATTTTAGAACACTTACTATTAAATGAAAGATGTAATAGCCAAAAGGCCTATGACCTAGCAATATTAGAAGTTGATGAATAGGTGCTTCTCAGCGATGGTCGAAGCAGTGGCGGATTTTTTATATGTGGTTTTTTACTTGCTAATATTTGTATAAACTGTATGAATATGTAACTATCTCCAAATAAACAAAAAAATCAATCTCATGGCCCCTCCGGTTATTGATATATATATATGTAATTAAATCAAAAAATATATATTTACAGAAAAGGATTCTTATCAGGAAACTAAATACCATACTTAGCAAAAAAAATCACTGGAAAAATCAAAATTGATCCTATTTATTAGGATATTAACTAACCACTATAAAACTCTAAAAATAAACCAAATTACTATATGCCAATATACGACGGAGAAATACAAATTCCTCAAAAAGTATAGCTGCCGCCGGAAAAGAATTGTCAAGGGTGACCGGAAAAACAAGGACGCCAGAATGAACACCTCCGCCTTTTCTCGTCACCTCCAAGTACTCTTTCTACCTACCTTTATACAAACCTGTTTTTCGAACCGCTAACCACCACCTCCGCCGGGTAACATACGTGAACAAGTACTGCAGATCTGGTTTCTCTTGTCCACCGAACATATAAGTTTTCTCACTTTCTCTCACTAGTCATGTGGGTAAATATGTGATATGTGATAAATAATAAATGCAGAAATTTGAACTTAAAATAGGGGTGGATGGGGTATGTTAGTTCTGCAAAGTAAAAAAGTATGAATAGAGGTAAATGATGTTTTTTGATCCTCTATTCCTCTCCTTTCAATATCTTTAAAGTATCATTTTATATTATAAAATAAAAAAAAATGAGTTGTGTAGTAAGTATGCATATCGATTGATTTCCAAGGTTTTCTTATTTATTTAGTTATTTTAAACTTTGATAATAATTTATATATGATTATTTATATATTAATACAAATTATCTCTTATATTACTATCATTTTTTTAGGACACAATATCTTTTCACTGTTATACAAATTAATTAATGTATATTAAAATTTCATTTTATTCTCTTAATTTTTTAATTATTAATTTTAAACTGTATATTTAGATGAAAACTTCAACTTGGTTTTTTAAATAAACATGTAAGTTCTTAAAATCCTGAAGAGCAACTCGTGATTATTTTCTATGAATTTTTCGAAATATAGTTGGCCCTTTAGTTATGAAATATAGTTGGCCCCCCTAGTTATAAGGCTTGTGTTTCGCCCCTGGGTCGAAGTCTTCTTTGAAACGAAAGGTGTAGAATATTAGTAGTAGATTGGGTGCATGTGTAAACGTTCTAAAAAAATAAAATGAATAAAAAATATAATAACTAATAAGAATTTAAATTGACATTTTCTTGAAGTCGAAGTTTAAAGAGAGGAGCGTTGATTAATTGTTGAATTGAAAACTATGAACTATTTAGTCTGTTTAGTTGCATATCGTATTAGTCTGTTGAGTGGTTTTATTTTTTGTAAATTCATTAAATTGTAATTCCTCATATAATTAAAGAATTTGGGCCTCATGCGGACCGATGGACTTGGACACTTAGATTATGAATATCATATGTTTTGTTTGAAACAATTAAAGGAAAATATAACTAATAATATACAAGTTAAATTATATGTTGGGGGAGGTTGGGCACCTGCTAGTAGGGATGAGCATAGGCGGGTACCCGCCTCATTTGGCGAGAACCGGAACCGGAACCGGAACCGGCGGTTCCTAGAAAGTTAGAACCGGAACCGGAACCGTTCTAGGCAGTTCTTAAATGTTTGGAATCAGTCCCGGAACCGGAACCGGGTAACCCGGTTACATTAATTTTGTTAACTTTTGTCGATAAAACCGCAATGTAGTTCGATCCAAATCAAGTTAATTTGGACCAAAGACGGACAAAATCGGACCAATATATTCTAAACCGGTCTAAGTAACACACGTATGTATATATATATATATATATATATATATATATATATATATATATTTATTTATTTATTTATTTATAAACCGGTTCCGGCGGGTACCCAGCGGGTAGCGGTTCCGAAAAAACGAGAACCGGAACCGGAACTGCTTAAGGCGGTTCCAGTTCCAAAACCGGCAGTTCCGAGGCGGTTCCAGTTCCAAAACCGGCAGTTCCGGTTCCAAAAGCGGGTACCCGGTTCCGATGCTCATCCCTACCTGCTAGTCCCCTCATTGTCTCCGCCCCGAGATGCACCAAGTAATACATGACGGCGTGTAAACAGATCAGCCCAACTCTACCGTCTTTTTTCAATGGTTTCCATGTACTAGATGTGTTTGCATGTACTCCCTCAATTTTTACTTTGAAATGCAACTTATTTCCCTACAAAAAGAGAGCCCAATAACAAAATCCAAATAAAACCTAACCCATGTGGAGTATGGGCCCCTTCCCTACTTGGAAATAAATTTAGAAGGAAATCCTATAAAATTATCTTACAAATCACTAAAGCAAAAAAAAAAAAAAAAAAAAAAAAACATGTGAAAGAAATCTACCACTAATAGCAAATATATCTAAATAGATAGAAAATTTCACATAAATATTGAAATTTATAAACTTCGTAAAATGGAATTAAAATTAATTTATTCGTACAAGAAATAACATTATATAACTCTTCGATTAACGATATAATTTAACATATTGAAATCATAAAAAAATTACAATTTTTTTTTTTGCCTCACGCAAGTCAAAATCGTTTTGCATCTGTTACAAATCAAAGAATTTTCCAGAAATATCTCGATGCAATTCTTCAAATCGTTGTTTTGCTCATAACTCTTGTGCATACACTTCGCACTCTTTTGCAAGTCAACATACTATTGTACCACGTCAACTTGTCTAATACAGTATGTATATAGGCATGATTTGTACAGTATGATTTGCATATTAGGATCACTTTATAACCGAGGGAAAATGGTTTTACACACCACCATTTCATCTTTTATCTAGTTCATCAAGCATCAAAATAAACATCTATTCAATTGGGAAATTTAAAATATGTAATGATACAGTTAAAAACTACTCTTAAAATGACTAAAAAGGGGTGTTTTCAAAAACTTTTATACGCCTAGTTCCTAAGTTTAACAAAAAAAATGAAAAATAAGAGAAAAGAAAGTCAGAAGAGAAAAAAGAAAAATGAAAGAAAAATAAAATTTTCTTTTGTGTTCTCGAATTGGAGAGAAGTGGAAGAAAAATTAATCATTTTGTTCTTTCTTTCCAAATCCTCCCAAATCGGAGAAAAGTTAGGAGGGAAAGTGATCATTCCATTTCCCCCCACTTCACTCCTTTAATGAAACTCGGAAACACCAATTTCTTTTATTTTCTTCTCATTTCTACCTATTTTCTTTCTTTTCTTTCTTTAAGTTGAACTCGGGAACGGAATAATGTTTGAAATTTTGGAAATACCTTTTATAGAAAAACAATTCAAAAATCATTTTAAGAAATAACTCTATGTCAAAAATTAGATTCTTGGAAATCATGTCGAAAATTCAAACATGAGTTTAGAAAATCTGGAAAAACAATTTTTTCGAATATTCTTTACATTATAAATTTAGATTTCAAAAATCATGATTTTTATAGTTGAGCTCTTTTTCGAAAAATTCTAGTCAACTTCGAAAACCCTGATTTTTGAACCTATTTTATGTCAGAAAGCAGAGTTCAAAAATAAGCATTTTGAAAATCATGATCATAAAATGTTATATATATATATATATATATATATATATATATATATATATATATATATATATATATATATTAAAATTGGACAACTCTTAGGAACAGTGAACTTCCTAAGAAGTTGTCAGAAATGGCCCCCAATCTATAGGTGGTTTTGCAATTATGTCTCTTTTGTTAACTTTTTGGTGTTGGTCAGTTTATACCATTCTGTAATTTCTTTCTTTACACGTGTTCTTTTCACGTTGTGTCACCGTTTTTTCGGCCAATCACCTTTTGATTTCTGTTGTCGTGTTACCGACCTTCTTCTTCTATCTCTGTTTCAATCTTTCTTCGTCTTCCATTTGTTTCGTTCGCTTGCTTCTTCTATTCGCAGATAATATTCTTCCCATGTTTTTCATTTTTTTGTTTTTCTGTTCGGCTTTTTTCTTATTGTTTCGTTGTGGTTTATGTTTTCCCTGCTTCCGTTCTGACCTCCACCGCTTCTCGCTTCTTCTTCACCACCGATCCAGAATGAGGGCTCCCATATGTTACTGGTCCAGAAAGAAAAACGAAGGTGGGTTCCTTCCATCCACTACTGGTCAAAAAGAAACACAGAGAAAACAGGTGGTGATGGCGTTTGTCGATGGTATTGGTCGGATGAAGGTGGCAAGGTGTGAGGGTCAACGATGGCAGTAACGCATCATGGCAGTGGAGTGATTGTGGTTGTCTCCGGAATCAGTGACGAGGGGCTACTCTGGCCGTCTGTTCCAGTGAAACCTGCTGAGTTTCTTCCCACGCTATTTGTTCGATTTACCCCTTTCTGCACCGGGAGCGGACTATCTCTGTCGAAGGTTACGAACTCCCGGTATGCGAGGTCTCTGTTTCTTTAACTGCTTTAACTTTACATATGATTGGCAACCTCTAAGTTAGCAGGTACACATATTTTGATCCATATATATACAACAAACCTTATTGTCCCGAAATAAAATATTGAGCCTTTTATAAATTATTTTATACTCATACTCATTTTATAAGGAATCTCAGAGAAAAAGAGTTGTGTCCGTATTGAGCATGTTTAAATGTATTTGATTTCGTATGGGTCAACAGTTATCTTTGAATTGTAACCTTTGAAATTATTGTATTCATAAACAAAAGGTCAATCCTACTTCGCCAAAAGAATGGAGTACTGACTATTGTGTTGTGTATTTCGTCAGCTGCACTCCTATTGTATGCAGTAGTATATGTCTACAGAAAGAAAAAAAAGGCCTCACTTGAAACGGAGAGGTAAAAAACAAGCATGATTACCATTTACAAGTTAATTTTGAGTATGATTCTTGTTGGAAAATTTAGTATAAATATTTATATTTTTACTAACTTTGGACCTATATAAATATATACATATGTTGTATATATAACTAAATCTAAGTGGGTTTGTGTTCTCCACCACGAGGACTTCGAAACAATATATTATATGTCCAAAATGGAGTATATGTGAATGAGATATCGATACTCAAAGAAGGGTATTTGAGAATAAATTTAGCAAAAAGGGATGAATGTGGGAATGAGTCCCACATTGGTAGAAAGACCAAACTCAACAAGGTTTATGAGCTTGAATGCATGAAAGGCTTACAAGCTTGTGTCTATGGTTTTACTACAATTCCTACCCGTGCACAGGGGGGGGGTGAAAATCTTGGATTTCGTAGACCAAAAACACCGAACTTGTGCATGGGGGCGACCTGCGGACACGAATGCAGCTCCGAAAACTCGGGCACGCGCAATACTCTTCTTTCTCCTCCTGCATACGGCGAATCTGTTTAAGGGAATCGAGTCCAACTCGAGCCTCAGCCACCACGTTTGCTACTAATCTTTTCTTTACAGGAAACTTTCAAGAGGAAAGTGAAGTCCTTACACTAACAATTCTTTGGGTAGATTCATTTAATCAAGGGCAATTGAAATGAGCTTTTTGTAGATAATGCAGATACCCTTACTTATGAGGATGATATCGGTTTTCAGATGGAAAACCTTGATGAGCTACCTTTTTTTAGGCAGCATAAAATAGCAAAGGCTACCAATAACTTCATCAGTCATTATAAGATTGGAGAAGGTGGCTTTGGTCCAGTTTACAAGGTAACTTACGGATGTTTTGGTATAAAATGCATGCATTCTTTGGGTAGATTCATTTAATCAAGGGCAATTGAAATGAGCTTTTTGTAGAAAATGCAGATACCCTTACTTATGAGGATGATATCGGTTTTCAGATGGAAAACCTTGATGAGCTACCTTTTTTTAGGCAGCATAAAATAGCAAAGGCTACCAATAACTTCATCAGTCATTATAAGATTGGAGAAGGTGGCTTTGGTCCAGTTTACAAGGTAACTTACGGATGTTTTGGTATAAAATGCATGCATTATAAAGAACTATAAATAGTATTGGAATGTTATGATCATAAACTCCAAAATTTATCTTTTAGGGTGTGTTGGAAGACGGACAAGTAATAGCCGTAAAGCGGCTATTAGAGACATCCGAACAAGGGCTTGATGAGTTGAAGGATGAAGTCATTTGTATTGCCAAACTACAATATCAGTTCAATACCACAGGCTAGTGTATATAATTCTTGTCTGTCTTTGCCTGTGAAACCATACATGTGTGTATGCAGCTATTTTTCGTATTTACCTTTTAATCTATACATGCGTGTGGTTGTGTTTTCAATAACAATGATAATATAAAAATTGTTGCAGCAATCAAGTTGTTCAGGATTTTACAGTTTTAGAACCATATTGCCCCTGCACACTGTTTTTATATTAAAAAAAATCAATTTTACAGTTTTAGGACAATATTGCCCCTGCATACTGTTTTTATATTAAAAAAATTCAATTTTTACAGTTTTAGGACAATATTGCCCCTGCACACTGTTTTTATATTAATAAATTTCAACTTATATAGTTTTAGGACGATATTGCCCTTGAACACTGTTTTAATATTAAAAAAAAATAAACATTACATTTTTAGGGTTCTTCCAAGAAACAATAGCCACAGAGAATCTCTTCCAAGAGAAAAATCAAAAAGTTGTCACTTATCTGTTTCTTATCACACCACCAAGCCAAGGTTCCAATCCTTTGATTCCTAGGGTTCTTCCATGTCTGGTTTACATTTTTTTTAATTTAAAGTTATGGATGTAAAATTTTGTCAGTAGAATAAAACTCAACTTTCTTAAACTGATTTATATTGCAGGTAGTGAGTTGTCATGAGAAGTAAGGAACAATCTGGATTTGGGAATTATGTTCAGAACTACTTCAAGCAAATGTAAGTTGCTTAAGACTTTTATAGTACTTAATCTCGATTTGATAAAGAAATGGAAAAGATTTGCAAAAAAAGCCAAGCATGCAAAGAAACGAGGATAATATTTTGATATATCAGTAATGCTAGAAGTGAAGTTCTTAAGGGATGTTCTTTGATACATACAATTATTCATTTTGTGCAGATTTTGGAATGGAGTTGGATTTTCCACTGATAGAATCAGGTGTTGGCTTGGATAATAGGCAAAACAACAACACTCACTAGGCTGATTATATGCTTCAAAGTACATGCTTTGATTTATTGAACCTATTATTTCTGGTTTCAGCTTTCAATCCAACTTTTGAAGCTCAAATTCTAACATCAATTTAAGTTTCAGACACGCTTTTTCATGTGCTTCATATTTAACCGGTAGTTTGACACTTCAATTTATTTAGAGTAAGCTTTTCAAGTTTAGAGTACTTATATTTCTCACTTTGTTTAGAAGAATTTGATTATTAATATAGTTAGAAGATTTGATATCAATGGCCGCGATTAGGTTTTTAATTGTTAAATTAAATAAGTTGTATTGAGATTTCTTTGCCCATTAACTTTCATTGTTAATTTATATAACCTGAACCTTTTACATGTTTCTCCTTTCCTTTCCTATCTCCTTTAACATTAAAAATTATGAATAATGTGAAATTGTTTTTTTTTTTTTTTTTTTCAAATGTAACGGTCTACGAACATCATCGGTTACTTCCCACCATTATCAAATTTTTTACTTCTAGATTTATAATAGTTTTGATGCAGTTGGTGAATTTTTTTTACATATTAATGGTAGCTGGCGATACATTATATATAACACATGATCAGCCAAAGCATCATCAGGTACATATATGTAAATAAAAACCAATATAAATCAAGGGCATTTCCAGTATACATTAAGTGTCAGTATTGATTAAAAATTATTGCATTTGTGGGTAGTTGGGGTCTAAAAGAGGTAAATTTACCAATGTATGTGAAAATGGATCAATTTTGTGTTACATCAGGTTAAAAAGTTTACCTCGAGGACAAGTTATGATGATATTGTCGTACGTAAAGCTGTAAACATTTATACTTGTACTAGGTTGATATAAAATTTTACTATTTAACAATTTTTTTTTAAAAGTTAACATGAATTTATCTATCTTTTCATCCTTTTGCAGTAATGCAACTCATTTTGTAGCCTATAATAATGATTGTGGAGATTCATAATTGCTTTTGGTTTGAAGTAATTAGAGGAATGGAATGTTGCATTCCACTGGAATCAATTTGTTACACTTGATGATTTTGAATGGAACATATTCATTTAGTTGTGTTGATAAGTTTCTTACAATTTCATTTTCCGCTTACGGATCTCCTCAATTTTCCACTCACAACCGATGTCCATCAAATCTTGAGGAATCTTTATGTTTGTGTATTAAATCCAATAATGACCCATCCGCCCCATATCAATCAATAAACAATAATCATTTATTTTCTATACTGTTAACAAATCTATACCCCGCAAAGCGGGGTTCCTCATCTAGTTAGTTATTATATGATACAAGTTCAGATGATATGGTTAGTGGGGTGAATGTCCCTTGATCAAAACATGTGGAAAGTGTATCGTGACTAAAAGTTATATAAATAATCCTATATATACACATAAATAATACAAATGCTACATTTAGAGTATAGTTTAGTTAGGGGTGAGATTTGGAAGAAAAGAAAGAATTGAAGGTCATAGTAGAAACTAGAACCTAGAGGAATCAAATCTTTTGACGGAAAAGTCTGAAACCAACGCAATAATCGGTCGAAGGTGCCTATAAATAAACCACACCTGGGAATTAAATTAAGCCAATAATCATAACGTATATATGTTATGTTAGTTACGATTAAGATACGTATGTAGACACGTTAGAAAAAGTTTGAGCAGTTGAGCTATATAATGACATCGACGAAAACTTAAAACACTGAACACGACGAAGTGGGTAGGTTTGATAGTGTATGAGCCATGGCCCATATACATCAATAAAAATATAATAGATTGGGTCATTGGGATTTGAGGTTTTTACTTCTGTGGACTGAGAGACCGAGACCGACTTTGCTTTTGTTTCAAAAATTAAACAATTTCTTTTTTGTTCTAGTTTAATCGATTGATTAATGTCAACGTTTTGGAAATTACAATTCAAGTCTTGATGTTTCGGAATAAAGGTCGTTCATTTAATTTTTTCCAACTATTTTAAAGTCCTTCGTAAAGAGGAAATCAAATTCATGTAATATATTTCGAAGTGTCCTTAAATACTTTATTGGAGTGAAAATCAACTTTGTGCTCTTAAATCTCCAATCTAACACATCACGTGGTCAACACATGCACGATCATTATTAAATAGTTTGCAGATAAGATCATTATTAGATTATGATTTATGACCCCTTTGACGGGTTACCAACCCTTGTATATTTAATAAGAATCTTTAGAACCTATCAACATCGACATATATTATCCTATGGCGATGGCGATGGCGATATAAACTATTTAACTTAATTTATATATGGGTTATACATCCATCAATCATATTAGGATATACACTAATACACCGAAAATAATTACACTTTGCATGTATTATATCACCACAAAAGATTCTTAAAATACAATTTATAAAAAAGAGAGAACGATTCACTTCAAAAGTTGTGTTTATTTTATTATTTACTAATACTATTATATTCCTCAAGACCACATACAAACGTCTGTATACTTACACACCTCCATATTAAGACATGTCAAAAAGTCAAACCCCCACAACAAAGTCCATAAAAAGTCAAAACTGACAAGAACCCCCCACACGTAAATTGTTCCTGACGCTTACCCTTGACACTTTCCTAGTAGCCAAAGCGGGGCCCACAAGCTCCCGAAACTTGTCAAGAAAATCCCACCATTCCCCTTCTTCCATTTCCCCCACCTTCACAAAACTCGCCGGCGTCCCCACCAACTCCTCCGCACTACTCCGGACACCCACAACCTCCGCCCCCCTCACCCGCCCATTCCCACCACCTTTCTTCCTTAAACCCCATTGCATGCAAGAAAAAGATTTGTTCTTTGAATCATTATCCACCACTTCTCTCATTGCTTCTAAACATATAACTTCAAGCTCACTCGGTTCTTGATCTTTACATCTAAATTCCCGACTCATCATCTCTCCTATCTCCGCCAAACACAGCCCAAAAGCCGCTGCTTCCTTTAGGAAAACCGTACAAAGTGTCAAAACCCGCAAACACGCCTCCCGGATCATCGGTAATTCCGTTCTTAGCATCTCGGAATCACGACCGGCATCGAGGGATTGTATATATTCAAGTTCGGAATCCGAGAACGGAATTGACGATTGCGGCCAATGAATCCATTCAAAATACGGGTCTTCCAAACATTCCGGAAGACAAAGTCCGTGATCGATCGGAATCAGCTCCACCTCACCAAAATTCCCATCATTCACCTTTCTAACAAGCAAATTTCCCGCATGTCGATCAGTGTTCAAGATTCTAACATCCAAGATTCCGATTCTATGTACATCAGAGATAGAGAAACTTGAAGCTCCATGATCACTCGCATCAAAATCATGTGGGATGAATTGCTGGAGAGATGCAATCTTGCTAACGTTAACGTTAACGTTAACTCTTTTCTTGTTTTGAATCTTGCTTCCATTTACAGAGTCGTTGAGGTTGAAAATTGAGTGGGTGATTTTTACCAAAGACGTTAAGGGCACTCCGGCGAAATGGTCATGATCTAGAAGATAAGCCGCCACTTCCCGGAATCCGGTTTCCCCGACCCGTACGGATTGTTTAAAACCCGGTTGCCCTAGAAGTTTTCCGGTGAACCCTTTAGGGTTGTTCGGTGCAAACGGCTCTTCATCTGTGGGTTTTACAATCGCGATACTTTGACCTTTGATGTTTCTGAAAATATACGCGCCACCTAATCCGCCGTTTACAGTAATCGGGTCGATTTCGTTTGTCAAAGCTGTAATGATTTCTTCCACGAGCTGATTTGTTTTGGTGAAATGGGTAGAACGGGTGTTAAGACCAATGATCTCGATAATACCACTTTGATCTTTTTGTTGGAGGGATCTTGGTGTTTGTAACAGACATGGAGTTGAAGAGCTTCGGTGGATTAAGTTTTTGGTGAGAAAAAGGGCGGAATCGTGTTTTATGGAGGAAAGATCGTGGTTTAAAACCTTGTCACCGAAGGTTAATGAAGTTTGATCTGTTGGGTGGTTTAGGGTTAACTGCATTCTTCTTTTTAGCGTATGGGCGTTGTCGTTTCTTTCTAATTCCATTCCTACGACACATCCGTTTTCAGTTTGGATAAAAACACGTCTTTTGTTGGGAGGTTTTTGGTTGAATCTTTTATCTCCTTCATAATCAGCATGGAGAGGACCATTGAGAAGGGTCACTGGCATTTTGAGAACCTTTAATGGTGCTGGGAGTGAAGGAGAAAACAAGATTCTGATCAGGTCACATTGGGTAGTAATCAACCCAATTAGACTTGTAGCAAGTTAACTACATCGGAAAGGTTATTTCAAATTTCCTCAACAATCTGACATGCGAAATCTGCAAGAAAAATTATTACATTGAAATGATGCATTTCATAAACAGATATGAACATATGATCTTATTTACAATGACATATATTGCGTATGCAAGTATCTAAAGGTTCAGAATATTTAATTGCAACTTCAATGAAACAGGAACTTCAAGCAAAAAGAAAGATTGTCAAAAACAATTCAGAATCTGAATCAGGAGAAGAAGAAATCAAAAGGGGAAAAGAAATGAAAGAACTGATGAAAGGAGTTACATCTATAATGATAGAGAAGAAGAACAATTGTCATCATACGATATTTCATTTTCCACGATCACAAGCATAAAATAACTTGTATCTATATCATGATCAAATTCACGAACAAAGGATGAAATTTAGAAATTGTCGAATTCCAACACGCACTCACAAGGTACAAATAATCACTCAGAACGATGAATTCGTTCCAAGATCAAATACAGAAATTGTGTTCGTAACTAAAAGTTGCGTTAAGTATAAAAAGAGTAAATAAATCATAAATTTTGTACAAACTCAAACGCAGAGAGATTAAAACGAGTTTTAGTTTGATTATAAACACACGACAACGGTCTTGTTCTTCAAATTTTCAAACCGTTCTGATCACTGTATAAGCCCCCTTTCATTTCTCTGATCAACCAAACACAATTGATCAAATTCACGAAACATTTACCAATAAATCATAACAGAAAGGCAAATTAACAACGGAACTTCAAGATTCAATACGAAAAACCGAAAGAAAATCACATTATCAATCAAATTGATCAAAGAAAAAGAACTAACAGGTAACGCGAAGGATCTGAATCTGATTGTTGAGTACGAGTGAACCGATGAGAGATCGGGGAGCATGAAAATGATGAACAGAAAAGAAGATTCAACGGCTCGGAAAACCGCCCTTGTAATTCTTCTTTTCTTCTTCTCCCTCCCTCCCTGTTTCTCGAATCCCCCCAATGATGTACGGATTAGCTTTATTTCTTATAAACAGTTAAAGCGGAAATACGTACTTTTTACCATTTTAGCCCCTAAACTTCAATTAAACGGTTCATTTAACCCCAAGTATTATATACAAGTTCAATTAAGTCCTTGTCTACTTTTGAAGGGGAATTATGAAGTAAACACTTATTTACCACTATAGCCCTATGCTATGATGAAATGGTTGAATTAACGCTAAGTATCATATAAATATGGAAATTGAGTAATCTATCATTTTAACAAAAATATTCAACTTTTTTTTTTTTTGTAAAATGACCATTTGCTCCGGAACATAACATTCCGGAGTTGTGGTCTTCGTTCCGGAGTACCTATTCTGGAATTTCTACTCTGGATTATAACCTCAGTCTTTTTTTATTTTCGTCTTATATATATATATATATATATATATATATATATATATATATATATATATATATATATATATATATATATATATATATGCTTAGAACCTTACCTTCAATCAAGTAATTCGTAATTATCTCTTATAAAACTACTTGAAAATGAGTTTCTCAGATAGTCAGCACGAAGAAAGCTTTAACAACCTACATGTTTACCTTCACAACCTCAGGCGAACCAACACGCATACTTACACTCACATCAAAACTGATTTGATGGATCGTTTCGAAGCGTGTTTTGTGGCTATTGGATGGGTGGTATATTTGCTTTTTGCACTTTTCTATTTTTTCTTTAAAATATATAATGTTTCTACATCTAAATTAATTCATTTTTTTCCTAAAAAAATACATATCCATATATTCATAGGTTGATTCTTGTCTGTCATCTTCATAGATAGTGTCCCTCTTAGAGAGGATTACCTAAAAACAATGTTTGTAGCGGTTGCTATCGACGGGAACAGCCAGACCCTCCCTATAGCATTTGGTCTGGCCGTGGAAAATAATCTATACTGTTGTTCTGGTTCCTTTTTAGGTTAAGATAAGCTCTCAGACAGGATAGAGAAGTATCGTTCATAACAAATATGGACGATGTTGTTAGTTCTTGCATAGAGCATGTATTCCCTTATTCTTATCATGGTTATACTTCTAAAAGTGTGTTCAAGTATATGTGCACTTCCATGTAGGTCTCAATTAGTTCGAAACCATTATCAATCAATTTGACTCGATCTTTTATTGTTGTAGTTGTCCTACGTGTTTCTTCGATAATGTCCATTGTGTTCACAAATTGTCGTATATCTTCAGACATGGTAAAATGAGCATTTGCATGTTATACAATGCTACTTTTCTCTGAATGGGATTTCCAGTATTATTATTTGTTGTTTAGCACATTGATAATCACGAATCATTTCTAATGCAGTCGTATCAACAAGAAGTCGTTGCTCGTTTTCAAGATGTGGTATAGCATACTCTATCGACAACTCATCCTGATTGTTCGAGTCACTGGATGTTGGAGACTAAAAAATAGAATATACCTAAATTATATTAATATAATATTTAAAAACCAATGCGCATAAAAGTATTAAATAATAATAATAATAAACACTTCCTGAAAACATATCCATAACAAAAAAAAACATAATTGCAATTCTAACAGGTTTGTCTGCACTTGCTCCGGTGCCATCTTTCGGAGTCATATCTGCTTTCAATTTAAGTTTCAACACCCTTTCTGATTTCTTTATTAATTTTATTGATGCCTTTGTTGGTTTATTTTTTATCTTATTTTGAAGCTCAGCATCGTTGTTTTTTATCTGCAAAAAAAAATCCAATAACATTTTAATACATTACCGTAAAAATAAATTAGAATTATAAAATTATTGTTTTTCAATTTTACCCTTTATCGGGCGCAATTTTGAAAGCTCCTATAAATGGAATACAACTTCGTCGTCCGTAAAACCCATTTTTTAACAACATCCAGGCTAACTCTTCTTTGGACTGACATGGGTTATTAAACAATACTTAGAAAAAAAATTGTTTATTATAAGTATTCCGGATCATCATTCCGGAATAGATCATCAGGTTCACGACAACGTTTATCGTGTTCCGGACCTACATTATCATTCCGGAATCCCTCCAATATCTAATTCCGAACTAAAACAACTGATCAGAAACACATTACAAAGTACTTACATAACATTCATACACGTACAACGACAAATATATATATATATATATATATGTATATATATATATTCCGGAGTTGGTCCTCGTTTTCCGCACCATTCCGGAATACGTAATTTGTTTCAGAAAATCAAATGCAAAGTAAGTTAAAGTGTAGAATTTACTTGGTTTGACGAATCCATGCTGAAATTTTGGTCCAAAATACGGGTAGATGGTGCTTCAGATCTGCTAATTCCGGAACGTTTATTTCAAATTTTTTGTGTGTGAGACCTATATATATATATATATATATATATATATATATATATATATATAATATATATATATATATATATATATATATATATATATATATATATATAGACACACCATTGGATTATAGTATTGGGCTTGGGCCGAAATGACCTATTCCGGACCAAATGGTTATTTTTCAAAAAAAAAAAAACTTGGTATTTAAAAAAAAAAACTTGGTTAGAATACTCAATTTCCCTATAAATATTTTAAATACAAATCTAGCCATAATTGCTAATTACTTATCAAATAATAGCCAAAAAAAAACCTCTTAACCAAAAATAGCCCAAAAAAGAGTAGTCAACATATAGTTGACTACGGTCAACAACATTTGACTACGGTCAACGGGCGTTGACTACTCTTTTGTGGTAATCCGTCTACTGTTTCGCCAATTCGTCTACTGTTTCGTGTTTTGTATAATTTTTTTTCATTTCTAAGATACAAAACCGTAAGTTTTTTAAAACCTACGGTTTCCTCTCGTTTTAGGTACGGTTTCCCAAACCGTAGCCTACGGTTTTGGGAAAAAAATACGGTTTTTTTTTTTTTTAAAGTCTACTGTTTTGAATTCTCAAAAAATTTTAACAAAATAATTGTTAAAATAAGACAAAATTGCAAAAATGGTCCCTGTGGTATGTATTTTTTTGGGGTTTTAGTCAAAACCTCGACTTTTTTGGATTGGTGGTCATTTTAAGCTAGTTTATATGCAGTTTTGGTCCCTATCCAAACTAAAAAGACTATTATACCCTTAATGAATTTAGTTTTCATTTTTCTTTCACTTTTTAAAAATATTATTATTATTAAATATAAAATCGGGTCCACCTCTCTCTCTCTCTCTCTCTCTCTCTTTCTCTCTCTCTCCAAAATCTAAAATCACTCATATCTCCCTCTACAAGATGAAGATGCAGCAAACACCAGCACAACCAAAACCCATTTGATTTCCCGTTGATGTACAATCCCCACCCCACATGTCAATTTCTTGGAATCGATTTCATCATCTCTCATTTCAAGATCTGGTGTTGCAAGCGTGTTATCTCCTTCTTCCCTAAATGTTGATTTTATCATCTCTCGATTTCTCGTCGATGTACATTGTCAAGACCTTCATCTCCATTACAACAATCTGAGAGCCATCATCAAGAGCCATCATCAAGAATCACCATCAGACCGTCGAAACTAAAGCAACACCATAAATTATTTCTAAGTTCTTGAATCTGGTCCGACAAACATGAGCCTCCGCTTCTCATCGCAAGATTCGATTTTGATCTTCATTTTTTGAGGTTTCGCTCAATCATTTCTACGAAAATGGTGATGCTAGTAACTCGATGAGGAATGGTTGCTTGATCTGTAATCGATTTCAATTTCATCAGATTTCCAGTGAGTAATTGTTCTTCCTCGGAGGCTCTGAAAGCATGTATTCAACCATGATCGATTGTTCTTCCTTGGGGATGAATATACACGCACAAATCAATTTTTAGAAACAAAATCCACACATACA